CCTACAACGTGATGTTTTCATCAACATATACCTGTGAAATGACTATATGATCAAGTTAATTAGCATATCTATCACCTCTGATTGTTTCTTTTTTCTTCTTATTGTGGCAATATTTAAGATGTCCTACTGTAGCAAAATCTCAGTACATAGTACAACATTATTACCATGCTGTACCTTGGACCTCAAGTGTTTTCATTCTGCTTTGCTCACACATTGCATTCTATGACCAACATCTCCTTACTTCCTCCCAGTCCTTGGCAACTACTATTGTACTAGAATTCTATAAATTCAACTGAGTTTTCAGATCCAACCATAAATGAGATCATGCAGTATTTTCTTTCCTATGCTTTGTTCATTTCACTTAGGACAATGTCATATAGGGTCATCCATGGTATTACAAATGACAGGATTTTCTTCTTTTTTAGGAATGAATAATATTCCACATATATGGAATCATATTATTTATATTATATTTGCCTGTATATATGTTATGCATACATAATACTTCCATTATCTGTTCATCCATCAATGGGCACTTAGGCTGTTTATATATTAGCTATGGTAAATAATGCTGCAGTGAACATGGGAGTGCAGACCTCTCCTTGAGATACTGATTTCATTTCATTTTGATACACACCCAGTAATGGGATTGCTGAATCATATGATAATTGTAATTATAATTTTTAAGCACCCTCTATACTGCTTTCCATAATGACTGTACCAATTTACACTCCCATGAAAAGAGTACAAAGGGTCTATTTTCTGGACATCCATGTTGAAAGACAAATTTTTGTCTTTTTGATGATAAACATTGTAACAGGTGCGAGATGAAATCTCATTGTGGTTTTGACTCACATTTCCCCAAAGATTATTGATGCTGAGCATTTTTATGTAACTTTGCATATATTTTTTCATATGTTTTCTTTTCAGAACTGTCTGTTTAGCCTATAATCCTGAAGCAGAGCCCCATTGCTGGTCTAACTGACTCCATTTTGAACCTCTCTGACTCTATTTTGCCTCTTAACTTTTTTTTCCTCTTGCATTACTATATTCTGCAATTATCTCAGAATTGCAAAACAGAACTGATCAATAAGCATCTTTATAACAAGGAATCAAAACTGTGCACAAGTAGAGGCAACCTTCACACATCACCCATGATGAGATCACCACCTGCCTCCATGGGCTCTATTACCTCATTGTGGGGAGTCGGGCTGCACCCTGGAATCATTTCATGGGAACCAGATTGTTCCCCTCAAGGAATGACAGCAGTAAGCCCTTCTCCAACACCACCTAACAGAACCAGAAACCTTTACTTCTCTTTCCTTAAAATCTCAAAGTCTCTGACAGTCCCTCAAAGGAATCTGCAGTTACTGGGCCTCTGTATCTGTTGTTCCCAGTGTGGTCACATTGATTAGACCTCATTCTGCTCCTACCTTCACCCCATCTTTTTGATTGGCATATTAGCATGGGTGGCCCAGCCTAGTCCATTGTGATTCCAGGAGCTGAGGCTTCTTCTCTAAAACAATCCTAGCATTCAGGGGGCTGATGCAGGAGGATTGCCAAGTTTGAGGCCAGGCTGGACTACATAGCAAGAGAGATCCAGTCTCAAAAAGAGAGAGAGAAGATGGGAGACAGGGAGGGAGAGAGAGGGAAGTGTCTGTTTAGGTCATTTGTCCATTCTTAAACCAAGTTATTTGTTTTCTTACTATGTGAATAGGCCTCGTTCCTTCAGCGGCTCGAGAGAAAGAATCTGTTTCTGTGCCTTTTCCAGTTTACAGAAGCCTCCTATATTCTTTGGCTTGTGGCCCTTCCTTCCATCTCCAATGCCAGTAGTGTAGCATTTTCTTTCCTTCCTGACTTCTGCTTCAGTTCTTAAATCCCTCTCAGACTCTGGTCCTCCTGCATTCCTCTTATAAGGAGAGATGGGATTGCACAGGGTTCATCTGGATAAACCAGAATAAACTTCCTATCTCAGGATCCTTAATCACGTCTACAAAGTCCCTTTATCATGTAAAATAACTTTTTCACAAGTTGCTGGATTAGGACCATGATATATGGAGGGTAAGGGTCATTACCTGTCTACCACAGCTGGGCCTTCAAAACTTCAGCTATCTGCTTCTACCACAGCTATATGCTACTATATAGCTAGCTCAAATGTAGAAACATAGATTTTATTTATCAGGAAAAAATTAAATAGCAATTTTTAAGGGATTGTTTTCTCACAGCAAAATGAGAGAAGTGGACCAGAGGATTGTTATAGATGCCTTTTACTATAAAGTTTGAGCATTTAAATGCACCAAATAAACCTAATGTTATGAAATATTTCATAGTAGACTGAAACATTGCTTTTTGAAACTTCTATTTTTGTCATTTTAGTACAATAAAAGCAACTTTTAAAATGGTTACTTTCATACAGAAAACACTTTGCTTTGACCAAATATTTTCCACAATGTGATTTTAAAATGAGTTTGGAGAACTAATGTTCCTTTGAATGAAGTGGAAAAGGTGTGCATTTTCCCTTTCAACAGGTATCTATATACATCAAGTAGGACTGTTTGCATCTGAAATGTACATTGGAAAATGCCTTTGAAATTGACATGTCTGGCTAGTAACTGTCATGACTATATCTAAATGTTATTTAGGCTCTTTTAGAAGCCTTAAATGAAATGTTGTAACAGGTGATAAAGGTATGTGCTTTTGTTTATATGATTTCTATATTTACACTTTCTAAATCACAAAGCACTTTGAGCCTCAAAATTATAACTTGCAACATAATGGATAGCTTGTAACTGGAAGTGGATAGATTTACAAAACAATCTAATAGACATCAGTAAATTTAGTTTTTGTCCTGCTGCCTCAAACATCTTACTTTAACTTGAAATGCACCAGGTATTATACAATGTACAAACTTCGTTTTTTTAAAACAACTTTGCTGAAATGTAGTTCACATAAAATTAACCACCCATTTTTAGTATACACGTCAATGAATGTTAGCATATTTGAGTGCTATAGGAATATCACCACCATCTAATTTTAGGGCCTATCCATCACTCCAAATAGAAATCTCAGGACAATTTATTACCACTCACTATCCCAACCTCCAATCTGAAAAACTTATCTTTTAACATCTGTATTTCTGGACATAAAATGTACATAGACATGTTCTTTTATGACTGGAGGTTATAGTTTGGATCTTGAATGTTCCGCAAAGGCCCATGTGTTGAGTGCTGGATCCCAAGTCCATAGCACTGTTGGTAGGTGGGGAAAGCTTTAGTAGAAGGGGCCTAGTGGAGGGAGGTTAGATCACTGGGGATATGCCCTTGGAGATGATATTTCACCCAGGCCCCTTTATCTCTCTCTGCTTCCCATCGGCTATGAGAACAGGCCTCCTCTGACACATACTCTGGCAGTAATGAACTGTGCCACCAAAGGCCAAAGCAGCCTGGTAAAGTGGCCATGAACTGAAACTGTGAGACTAAATAAACCTTTCTTCATTTTGAGTTATCTCTGGTAGTTTGTCACAGTGATACAGGGCTAAGAGTGACTTATTTAAGTTTTGAAATTGTCTTTATTATAGATTTGTCAGTATTTTATTCCTTTTTATTGATAAATAATATTTCATTTTGTGGATGGGTCATATTTTGTTTATCTGTTTATGGTTTGATGGACATTTTTCTACTTTTTGGTCATTATGAGTAAGGGTGTGACCATTTGAATGTAAATGTTTTTATGGACATATATGTTCATTATTCTGGATACAGTTCTAGAAGTGGAGTTACTAAGTCATATGATAAGTCTACATTTAATTTTTTTTAAAAATTGCTGTACTGTTTTCCAAATAAACTTGCTTTACTAAGGAAAACAATCTGAATATCATATATGTGTTCTTGGATTGTATTTAGTCTCTCTCAAATAAAAAATCCCTCAAAAAGATTTGATTAGAAAATTAAATATAGTCAGCCCTCCACATCTGTGAATTTTGTTTCTGTGGATTTGACCAACCCTGGATAAAACATATTCAAAAAAGTATGAGGGTAGAGCTCAGTACTAAATTACTTGCCTACCATGTGCCCTGGGTTCTATCCCCAGAAAAATGATAATAATAATTATTATAATACTAACAATAATAATAACTTGAAAAATGTGTCTATACCAAACACATACAGATGTTTTTTGTTATTAGTTCCTAAGTAATACACTGTAATAATTATTTATATGGAATTTACATTGTATTAGGCATTATAAGCCATTCAGGGTATAAAGCATATGGGAGGATATGCATAGTTACCTGCAAATACTATGCAATTTCATGTAAGGACTTGATTATCTCTGATTTTGATATTCACATGGGCCCTGGAACTGATCCCCCATAACACCAAGGGATTTCTTTCATGATTTAATTGTGCAACCTCCTTAGCAATGTTACACTGTTAAACCATTATCATCTTCTTTGAAAGAACAGAGTATCTCAAAAAATGTCTGTGCAGTCCATTTGATAGGAGATGAAATAAAATTAAGTAAGTATCTTAAAGACATTTAAGCATAAAATTACAATGAAAAGTTTTGCGGTTAGTCTCTAAAACCTCAAAATCTTATGAATATTGTCATGAAAGTATTGCGAAAATTTCTTTAATTCCCAGTTATTTTTCTTCATGAATGATTTGCCTTTCAGCAGCTCTTGTAGACTTAGAACATTAAAAGAAAGCCAGAGGCTTAGTTAGCTGTGTTTAATAATATTTCTGAATTTTCTAATATTTTAGATTTTAAGAAATTAAATTTTGTACATATATGAAAATTATCATATGGAAAATGTGATCATTATTGAAATCACAGACTTTCATTCTAGATTAAGATCTAATACCTTAAAATTTGGATGATTTGTGGCAAGTTATAGATAAGCCCATAAAATTTATTCCTTGATTTATAAAGTAAGGCACATAATACAATGTCTGTCTAGATAGAGAGGTATCCAATATTTTTTAATTGAGGGCCATACTCACCTCATGACATCTGATGTTTGAATCTGTTTACTCTTAGCTGCCTCCGATTGGACCACGGATCCCTGCTGGATGCACAGGAGGGAACCTGGCATTGCAGTTGTACCTAAGGAATGGCTCCCAGACAGATACTGACTCTGTGAAGCCATCATGTCTTTATTTTTGCAGGACAATTGAATTCTCAACCTGGAAATTTAGCTGCCAGGACTCTGTTGTTCTGAGAGTTATTGCACTAACACTGAATGTGCAGTAGTTGAGACAAATTAGACTGGAATTAGACTGACTTATTTTAACAACTGGTTCTGTCACTTCTCATCTAGATAACTCTAAGCAAGATACTTGTCTTATATTTGCATTTCTTCCTCTGTAAAATGGAATTAATAGCAGTGTTTGTTTAATAAAGCTCCTTGGGGATTAAACCAAATAATACATGGATGAATGGTGGAGCCTTTTGTTATTGTTAGTATTATTATTTCTCATGCAGCCTTTAAATGCAACCCCATTAACTCAATGTAACCTGAAGAAGACTAAATTGAAAGCAATTGTCAGGAAATTCAGAGATTGCCTATGGGCTTCATGTATGCTCTCTTTCTTTCTTCTGTTATTTACTATCCCCCCTCCCCACCACTACCACCACTTACTCCGTGTAATTTAGCTAATACACTGCCTCCAGCCAATTCCCTGAACTTGAAAGCTTGGTAAAAGTCCCCTTCCTGTGACATGCTTCCATGACATGACTACCTTGTTACATTCATACTAGGTTTAAATGTGACACTAAGCATTCTACTTAAACTATCTAGAAATGGAAATAATATACCAGTGCCTATCAATGGGATGGTATAAAAATAAAATATATGAATATATATAATACACATATTTGTTTCTAACATTTAATGTAATGCCTATCAAATACTAAATAATAGATACTTTTTACATATTTCAATATTATTTATAAGCACAGTGAATGAAATATCCTATTCATTTGTCTGTGACAAAGTAAGTATATGACATCTAAGTGAGCAGAAATACCCTATGAGACATCACTTAACCCTAGAATGTCTATACATCTGGTCCCCACTTGATCCAGAATCCTTTCCTTTTGTTCTGTGGGTACTGCTCAGTTTTTACCCTAAGTTTGGCAAATTTTATCTCTAAAAAGTCAGATGGTAAATATTCTCAGCATTGTAGACATTATGGTCTTTGTTGAGATTACTGTACTCTATCATTCAGAGTGAAAAACAGTCATAGGTAATATGTTAATATAGATATGGTAGTTTTCCAAAACAAATAGCAGTAAGCTTGACCTATGGGCCACAGTTTGCTGATCTCCAAAAGACTACATGTATTTCTCTGTGTAATACAATTCTTCCTTAATTTTAATTATCTGATCTTTTTCATTGAAATTTGTTTTAAACCTACTTTGAAACCACATTTTCTAATTTACATAATAAATATAACAAATTATAGTTATATCTAAATAAAAGTTATTTTAGAATTGAACAAGTAATCTTCAACCAGTGGTTTTTAAACTAAAGATTAAGAAAAATTTACTCAAGAAAATTATATGTATCAAAGGTTTTGCCAACTCTGCAGAACATATTTTGGAAAACATGACTCCACAGCGGGATAGACAGTTAGAGGCAGAGCAAAAGCTAGAAATGGAAATGATTTGATGCAAGGCAACTGGGAAAGGTGGGACTAGGCAGGAAGACTGGAGGGACCACATAAACAGAGCAATTGCTCCCACCAGCTGATGGTTGTGCTGTCAAACTTGGGCCTATTTTGCTAAATGTTTTCTTCTTTCAATAAACGCCAAGGTTTTTTCTTTTCTCACTCTTTTTTTTATTTTAACATTTTACATTTATGAAAAATCCTTTAAAAGTCAGAAAGCAGTTCAAAACAAACAGAAAGAAATGCTGTTCAGGTCACAGAAACAACCCTTGAGGGAAGTTGACAATTAGCAATCTCTGTTCTAAAACAAGGTCCTGGGGCAAGTATGGCGGTGCAAGCCTGTAATCCCAGCTACACAGGAGGCAGAGATGGAAGGTTGAAGGTTCAAGGCCCACTTGGGCAAAAAGCATGAGGCCCTATCTGAAAAATAACTGAAAGTAAAAAGGGCTGGGGGTGTGGCTCAAGTGGTAGGGTGCTTGGCAAGTAAGAAGTAGGGCCTGAGTTCAAACCCCAGTACTTTCAAAAAAATAAAAAAGAGTCCTCATTTTATTGGTAAGAGATGGAATATCCAAAATTGTTATGAATTGAGCAAAAACAGCATTTGTTCTCTGATCTCAGTGTCAAAATGCACTCTCACTAACACAGTGTGTTTGAGTTTAGGAAGAGAACCAATTAAGAGTACAGCCTTCATGGCTGGCAGATGTGTTCTAGAATATCAACTCTGGAGTCCATTGCATCTGAACTTTCTCAGTGGTAATAAAAGAATAACTGCATATCTCAGAGTGTTGTGGTGAGGTTTAAATGGAATAGTCAATAAGAAGCACTTGTTCCTGGCATAATACAATCACTTGAAAAATGGAACTATTATTAAATTTTAGCTTGTGATTGAAATTTTATTAAGAGGACATATATGCTGAATTAGATTCATTTGTTATGACTATGCACATATATACACATATATATGTATGTGTGTTTATAGTTTATCTTTCTGGAATAAGTATATCCCAAAAGGATCGCACATATCACAGTTGTATTAGTTTGCAATCAAGAAAAAAAAAAAAAAAAGCAAGCCTGGTCAGGTGCCAGTGGCTCATTCCTGTAATCCTAGTTACTCAGGAGGCAGAGATCAGGAGGATCTCAGCTCGAAGCCAATCCAAGCAAATAGTTCATGTGACCCTCTCTCAAAATAAAAAAAAAATTCATAAAAATGGGCTGGCGGAGTGGCTCAAGGTGTAGGTCCTGAGTTCAAGCCCCAGTACCACAAAAAATGTAAAAACAAAACAAAACAAAAAACCAATATGAGTTCCTGTGGACGTTTTCAGGGAGGGATGGGATGAGATCGTAGCTCTCCACAAATGTTACACTGAGCTTCCAACTCAACCAAGCCACAAAATGGAGTTCATCTGCCAGGTGACAGTGAATCTCATTTTCCTTTCAATGTCATGAAACTTAATCTGGAAGACAAAGGAACTACATCCTCAAAATAAGCAAAGAGATTAATATAGTTCATTTCAAGAGGAGACTAAAAAAATTATGTTGAAGAAATATGCAGAATCTTATAAACTGTTATGTTAAACAATGTCTCTAATGATAAACTGCAAGTAAAATGAAGCCTTTGAAAAGAATTTTCTAGCTCTTTAACTACAAAATGCATCTAGTCTTCAGGGAACCAAGTTTCCTATCTTATTTTTGAGACTTGCATATTGTTTACACAGAGCAGCAGTTGTTTCACCTCTAGGCACTTGTGAAAAAGGCATATACTACTAAAGCACTGTAAGACGTGGATTTTGCAAATCCATATGAATTAAACAAAAAAGGTTTCAGGAAAACACAAATCACTGTGCTCAGGCTTCATTTCTTAAAAGCAGATATATTGCTTACTATGCAGAAGCAGGATATAAGAAAGATTTCTGGAAATAATGGTTCTCTATAAACCTCATTTTCAATGAGTAAACATTTTCCTTTAACAGATTAATATTACTCATTTTTAATGATAATTTCTAAGAAAAAGAGTAAGGATTAAATTGGAAACACAATTGAATGGTTGGTTAACCTAACTGAAATAGAAATTCCAAAAAAAATGGAAATATTTTTTCAGGGATGGCCTGATTTGTTGGGCATTATAGCTAGCACAGAGATAATACATGAGTTACTTAAATATAGTGAGAATGCTGTATCAGTCAAAGTGTTTGCAAAAAACAAATGACACTGTGATATTATAAGTAGAAAGGGATTTAAAAGAAGAGTTGAATGCTCATGAAATCATTGCAGTGGCTGAAAAAAAAAAAAAGTTTGGGTCCCAGGACTCTCAGAGCACAACAACCTGACCTGACCTGCGAGTACCTACCCAGGTGAGAGGAAGCTATCTGTGGTGCTCCTGTACCACCAACCTCACTCTCAATGGCTGCAATGTTGCTGAATGGAAAATTGAGCAGAATCAGCTGTCACCCTTACTGAAATGCTCCAGGACACATAGTACTGAGGACTGGGCATTGGAGTGGAGCACTACCACTGAAAACTTACTTCTTCACATTTTTTTCTGCCTGAAGAAAAGATAGAAAAGCAAAAAAGTTCATGAGACTCCATCTCAACAGAAAAAAAAACTGGGTGTGGTGGCACCTTTCTCATCCCAGCTACTGTGGGAAGCCTAAAATAGAAGGTTCATGGTCCAGGCCAGCCTGAGCAAACAGCAAGGCCCTATCTCAAAAATAACCAGAAAACGAAGGCTGGAGACATGGCTCAAGCAATACAATGACTGTCTAACAAGCATGAAGCCCTAAGTTCAAATTCCAAAGCCAAAAAAAAAAAGACATCCTAGTTTATATTGTAGTCTCCGTGTGAATAGCAACTACGTAAGCTTTCATTTGGAGCTATTACATTGTGAGCTCCTTGAAGTGTTTTTCTGTCATAATGATTCATTATATACACCTCACTGTCTTGCTCCTTCCAGCCTTTTTGTTTTAGTACAAACTCAGTGCCAATTTTATCTAATGCAAAACGATGTGAAAAATTTTCAGCCAACAATTAAAGAAAAATTAATATTTAGTCTAAGTCAAAATAGGATTTAGTCAAGTCCTTGTTTTTTTTTCTAATACTTAGTCTCTAACAAGGCTACAAAGCAATAAGTTGACCTTGTCTTGACAATGAACAATTTTAATATAAATATGATAGTTTCCTAAGACATCAGTCTTTTTATAAGTCAGATAAGTGTACCTGAATAGATAAGCCCTAAAAGTAGCACAATTTAAGAAATGAAATGGCTTATCACCAAATTACCTAAGACAGTGGTTATTTTTCATGTAGGTGATCAAATAACATAGTATGCTCATTTTATGTGACCTTGCTAATTTATCAATCATTACTGAAAATTCCTAGTTTTACAAAAACCTTCCTATGTGTCTTAAAAGTAATTTTCTCTCGGAATGAAAATCACTTACCAAAAAAGACAACATAAACTCCATCTCTTCTTTACCCTGTA